AACAGGTTGCAAGCCTTACAAGATCTACGGAAGAAAGAAGAGACTATTATGGAGGACAACTGAAAAGGCATCAAGGAAGCATTAACTTTAACGTGTCAAGAGGTTCTGGGTCTAAAGAAATACCATCATAAGGAATGGATCTCTACAGAAACACTGGACAAGATCAAAGAAAGGAAGAACAAGAAAGCAGCAATAAACATGCCTCATCAAGATTTCAGAGAAAGGAGATCTGAGCAAGTGTGAAAACTACAGAGGCATTGCAATACTGTCAGTTCCAGGGAAAGTCTTTAACAGAGTGTTGCTGAACCGGATGAAAGACGCAGTAGACACTCAATTTCTAAATCAACAATATGGATTCCGTGGAGATCAGTTGTACACAGACCGAATTGTGACGCTGCGGATCGTCGAACGATCGATTGAGTGGAACTTGTTCGTCGTAAACCAAAATCATTGATTATGACAAAGCTCATACGATGGACCACTTGCAAAGTCGTGTATAGAGGACAGCTGACAGATGCATTCCAAGTAAGGACCGGAGTCAGACAAGGCTGTTTACTCTCTCCCTTCCTCTTTCTTCTGGTGGTCGACTGGATTATGAAGACCTCGACATCTGAAGGAAAACACGGAATTCAATGGACAGCTCGAAATCAATTAGACGATTTGGACTTCGCAGATGACCTAGCCCTCCTATCACGTACACACGAACAGATGCAGATGAAGACAGCCAGTGTGGCAGCAGTCTCTGCATCAGTAGGCGTCAGCATACACAAAGGGAAAACCAAAGTCCTCAAATTCAAAGCGGAAAACAACAATCCAATCACTCTTGATGGCGAAACTCTGGAAAATGTAGAGTCCTTCACATACCTAGGAAGCATCATCGATGAACAAGAAGGTTCAGATGCAGACGTAAAGGCAAGGATCGACAAAGCAAGGGCCGTATTCCTACAATTGAAGAACATATGGAACTCAAAACAACTTCCAACCAATATCAAAATGAGAGTCTTCACTACGAACGTCTATGCAGTTCTACCGTACGGAGATGAACCTTCGAGAACCACAACAACCACATCAAGAAGGTACAAGTATTTATAAACGGTTGTCTACGCAAGATACTCAACATCCATTGACTGGATACCATCAGCAATAGCCTTCTGTGGGAGAGAACAAACCAGCTTCCAGTTGAAGAGGGAATTAGGAAAAGACGATGGAAGCGGATAAGACACACATTACGGAAATCATCGAACTGCATCACGAGGCAAGCCCTTGCTTGGAATCCTGAAGGGAACCGGAAAAGAGGAAGGCCAAAGAACACATTAGGTCGAAAAATGGAAGCAGACATCAAAAGGATGAATATGAACTGGAAAAGATAGACCAAGACAGAGATGGATGGAGAATGCTGGTGAGTGGCCCATGCTCCTTCACGAGGAGTAACAGGTGTAAAGAAATTATTAATTTCACTGTGTATTTTGGATGTTTTTGTTTCACTCAAGTTCTGAACTTGTTTGTTTAGATCATTATATTTGGACATTTTGGTTTTTCTTTGTCTTTGGTTTGGTGTTTGAGAGTTTTTGCTTCGGTAGCCTACAAAGTTGAGGGTTTGTTCTGTAATTGTTGTAGTTATTGTTAGGATGACATTTGGGTCGACTATCTGTAAATTGCGAATAAACTTTGGTACCTAAATTGGAGCTTGGTTCTATTGTCAATTTGGGTTCATATGTGCAAATAGATCGATATTCCGTACTTCAATAACGGAAGAAAGCAAAAGAGACACTTTTAACGGGTTAGAAATAGACGGGTTACGACGATAATATCAATTAAACGGGAATATGTGCAGCCATGTCCCGGTGCCTACATAGACTTGGTTATGTGCATCATGTCGTTCACCGCAATTGATATTTTGTGGACCCAACAACCGGAGTACACACAAACAAATATCGAAGCTATGTGATCGAGACTGAAGTTGTTTTTGTTACCTTATTTTGGCTCAAGATGTCGACTATTATGGATTCATATAGATGACTTCTTCCACCGTATGCATTACGATTTCAGAATCTCTGAACCTTTTTCCAACCTTGATAAGTCTTAAAACCATGTAAAATAAGTGTATCCACTCTAATCCTTTGGTTTTTTATATATTTTTACTCTATACTGAATGTTTTCTGCTTAGCTAATGTTTATTAAGGTTACTTTAAGTTCGTTCCAAAGTTATTTATAGGTTATCGCCTTGCCACGTGCTCCACTGTCTAGCTCGGAACATTGTGTAATTCGTGTTTCACCTAAAGTATACAGAAAGCATAGAAAAGGTGCACTCTTACATCAGACCAAGTAAGTCAAATATACGAATTACTCAGATGAAAATCCGAAAAACATGTTTTGTACGACTAACTGAGAATCGTTTGCGGGTGACTTACTGGAAAACGCTACTGGTGATATCACTTGTCATCTTAAATTCTATTTTAATATTTATTGTCCCACTGAAAATTTTATTCGACTTAGATCTTCACAACTAAAACGACTGCGAAGTGTAGAAGAAAGAATGCAGAAGAAGAAAAACTCTTCGTGAGCTAAATGGTCTTATAAACTTGGAGATTAGAATTATGAGCTCCATGTTTATTCAGAAACTCCTATCTTGTAAAAACTTATCAAGTATGTGGAAACTTTAAATAACTCACGGGTGACAGGCACATTATAAGCAATAACCACCTGAATGTTGGTGACTTAAATAAGTCCTTTACACGTTAGTTATATGATGTGATGCTCCCCATATCCACAGATTTGAAGAAGTTATGTTCCTACTTTCACTGAAACTAATGTCCAAAAATGTCTCCGGTCACTTAATTCATCTCAGTACTCAGAACGTGAAAAAATCCCGAACCTCCTTAAAAATGTGCTAATGTTCTGTGTTATCCATTCATGAGTACATTTAACAGATTATTCTTAACCAATTTCATTGATCCGTATCAGTTTGTATACAAATGCAAAAGAAGCACGTCAGATGCTGCTATTGCTCTGCATCATAATATAATGTTCAGCTTGGAAAAGGGTAAGAAGAATAGTCGACGCGCTTTTCTGGACTATACTTTGCTTTTGATCCTATACCAAGACAACTTTTAGGTAACAAGTTATTCAACGTCAACGCTGACAGCTCGATAACCAACTGACTATGTTCCTACCTCTCTGGAAGAGAACATCACACTGTGTTCGTAGGAAAGTGTTCAATGTCTTTACTGTTTCATGTAAGTGTCACAAGGAGCTGTTCCTTTGCTTATTTTCTCTTTTTTTCTGCATGATCTTCCACAGAAAACACTTTTATTAAATATGTGGACGATCTCATTGTATGTATGCCAGTTTCTACCTCTTTACATCCTCTTGAAATAGATGAGCTTTTGTCTCGTAACAAAAAGTGGTCAGTTGTTAATAGTCCCATACTTAATCCGTCTAAATGTCAAACTGTTAACTTTATCCCAAGACATGAACAGCACCTAAACACCATGATAGTGTCTCATAATCCTTGAACCATTGGAGATTCTTTGATAAACACAGTGTCGTGGGTTACTTATCTTGGTGTTACCTTTCCTCTGATCTCTTGGTCTTTTCATGTTTTACTGTTATCGAAGTACGTTTTCCGTCTGACTGACTACATAAAGAGGCTGCATGATTTCAGGATTATTCAACATTTAATCTTGCAGCTTGTCAATTCTTTTCTATCTTTCGGAAACTGTTGAAGGCAGTTAGCAGGGTGTGTGGTGAATCTTTTGAGGTCATTATTAATATGGTTGCGGACAGACAACTAAAGTCTTACGAACTTCTAATGGGTGTTACATTATCAGATAGTGACCGTCTCCTTCATCCATAACTTTCATCTTGTATATATTCTGGTAGAACGAGACGTCAGTGCATTAGAATTCATGCACGCAAGCTAACGTAAAAGGTTCTATATTACCTTACCTAGCAAACATACTATGTGATGAACAGGTTTTTTGAGTTAATCTAGTCAATGACCTGTATTCGGAAACATGTGTCTAATTTAAAACATCTGCAGATTAAAATGTTTTTCACCTTTTGCTCTTCTCGTTTCATTTTTGTTTTGTTTTTGTAGAAGAAACTTTTTGAAATACCTCGTTCTGAGAATTCAATAATATGTACCAAGATAAAATGTTGAATAAAGTCATTATTAATAATAATATTAAATGCAATCTATGCACACAAGAAAAATATACTGGACGTTACTTAAGTTGTCAGGAATTGGTGTGTTTCAGTTTCTTTTGGTCTACTAATCCACAATTATAAGTAGTTATTAATTCCGATCTCAATTGTTATAATTTGAGATGTGTATCAACATGAAGGACAAAATGAGAACATCACTGTGGGCTGTAAACGGAGACAGTAAATACATAACAGTTCTGTTATCATAACAACACGTAATGGAGAACAAGAGACAAATATGTGCAGCACTGTTTTTGTAAGATGTAATCAGTGTCATGATATGGAGAATTCAAAATGAAAATCGAAATATAATGTCATACATTTTTAGACAACTATTTTGCAGTCACTCATAGAAAACGAACAAATTATGAGAATTAGTGAAAAGAATGAAAATAGTAGCAAAAACTAGTTACAAAATAAGTCTGTCGTAATTATATACATAAAGGTCTGTGCGCACTTCAGCAAAAAAGCATCAAGGCACATCATCAAATATTTTATTAACATACCAAAGTGAAAATAACTACCAACCAAGATTTACATCATTATTAGACTTGAAAGACACGAAAGAGTCATTAACAACAAATTCCAGTGAAGCAGTACAAAAAAGCAATTGATAGTGAATTAAAGTTAAAAAGCCACTAATAACCAATCATTTTATATTATGTGGACTTAGATAACTGAACAAAGAAAGACCGTAGTTCTTTGATGAGGAAGTTACACGTATCTTTCTCCATCTTCAGGTGATACTTAAAAGATATATCAACAGATCCCTGTAACTAATGTATTGCTTAAAATCAACTCACCTCTTTATTATAATTAGCTTTATTCTCCATCTGACCCTCTAAATAAAGGCGTTGATAAATCAGTCTGGGAATGTTTGTGAAAATTATACTACTTACTTATATTTAGACTTTATCATTCTGTAGTAAGATACCCGCTCCACCAAAGAGTTTATATATAAATTAATTTCATGAACATCTGGTGTGTTGGGAACTAAGATAAAAATGCAAAAGTTAGAAGCAACAAAAACAAATGTTCAAGTGAACAATAATGGAATAAAGTTCTAAACAAACATTTGAACACATTTTGTAAAACTGCCCAGCAGAGTTGGTTGGAACTACTCTACGTTTACCCGGAGAATTTTTCGCTTCAGGTAAAAGTGTTCCGACTGATGTAGCCAACCACGTACATTGTCTAAAGAAGCACATGAACGATTTAAAAATAAAGCTTCCCAAACCACAGCAACGATGAGTATTTACCAAAGCAACTAGATATTATCACTCATGTATCCATTAGAAGGGATGATATACAGCTTCCTTTGAGCCGAATTATGATGGTCCGTTTAAAGTGGTTTCAAGGACTGACAAAACGGTTACTGTAGAAAAAAGCTGAGAAAACGGGATATAATCAGCATCGACTGAGCTAAACCAGCATTCATGAAATTGACGACTAATCAATAAATACACGTCACGGGAAAACCGTCACATCACCAAAATATGTGTCTCAATCATTGACGACGAAAATAAAAAAAGAGAAGAGATCCCAATAATGACGAGATATAGTCGAAAAGTTAAGTGGCTACAACAGTATATAGCCACGATTATGAATTAATAATTTCTCTCACTGTTTTAAATATGAATTATCCTCTTCCTCTTCGTTTTGTACGCGTGTATCATGAAGTTTAAATTATGTATTGTGAAATTTCACACATTTTATAAATCTTTGTGCTTATATGTATAATCTTTTAAAAACACCACCAAATCCTTTTGATATTTGATCATTTTACCTGGACTCACTGAACTACGGAAATCCAGATATACGTAACAAATACTAGCTTACAGAGTCGCACTTTATCTTAAATTTAAGTAATTCATTATTTTCTGTGTATCATAGTTATTCAATCCAAGTTTAACATTTTTCTGCGACCACAGTCGTCTATTTATATCATTGTTTGCAGGGGGAGCGAATATAGCTGCTCATCTACATATAAGGCTGTTTACGTTCAATTTTGCCAAGCCCTTCAATTAACTTATTTAACGGTCAGTGTCACTAGAATAGTAACAATTTTTCTGTCTTTGTAATATTATCATTATCATTTCTGTATGAACATGTTCGCCTGGTTACGTGTGACAGCCTACGCATAAATCCCTTTCTCTTTCTTGAATGTTAGTTGCTTATACAGATATATATATATATATATATATATATATATATATATATATATATATATATATATATATATATATATATATATATATATATATATATTGGGGAAGCTGCTACAGTAAACTTTGGGGAAAATTTAGGGTTTTGATGCCATTTCCTCAGACCTGGGGAAATTCCCCAATATTTTCCTTTAACGTTGGTGAAGGTCATTTGATTTTGTGGGTTTCCCCGAAATTCCATAAAATTTCCCTGAACTTGGGAGATTGGGTATATATGTATGCTTGAATCTTACTACTGGATTCGACTCTTAACTCGCCTGTGTGTTCATTTGCTTGCTTGGTCTCTCTCACTGACGTTTCTGCTCTAATTCGCTTTTTGCGATTGTGGCTTGTTAATCTGCGTTGTACAGTAACAAACTGTAGTTGAAGCTTCGTATTTTCTTCTTAAATTTATACACCGCTGGGGGATATCTAGTAACGGTTGTCAGGACGACTGATATACAAAGCCTTAGGAATTATCTCAAAAATAATCTACTACAAAATACTCGAAGCGTTATGCAATCAAATTATAGTTTCAATTGTCCAATAACCTTGTATTATTTCTAATTGTTATGGATTACTTTTATTACCATTTGAAGCTTAAGATGTAAGTGCACTTTATGTGCTTACTGAGTTAACTGTCCACATTTTCTCTTGTTCCTTTCTCTTCCAGATTCTTTCAATTACTGTTCCTTACACTCCCCCAACAAACAAAGTACCTTCAGGCTAGACCAAAACCTTGTAAAGATTGAGTATTACAATTTATGCCATTTAACTTTAGATGTATCATCTGATTAACTTGACAAGAAGTAGATATTGGAGTTTAAGCTAAAGCCGGTTACCATAAATAATAGATCTACTAGCACTTCCAGACAGTAATACTAACAACTTATAGCATACAATGTTACATCAAATCTATATACCTGTCTACCCAAACTTAAACAATGAGAGTAAAGGAAAGTGTATTTTAAATAAGTCAGTGTTTTTCTTTATAAAAAAAGAAAACAATTCAATACAAAACCATTAGAATAGAAAAATGCACCACAGTAGCATAATAATACTATATATCTGTTAACAATTCATTTTGATTATATCAGAAACTGGAACAATAAATGCTGAACATCAGAAGAATTGAATTCAATTGATGAATTTAGTGAGATTATTGTTTAGTTTATCAATTACTATCAATAAGAAGAGAATATCTCAAGGAAATCTCTAAACGTTCATTCTAATCAATTTAGTTGCATGATAAAACTAAACGTTACTAAAAACTAACTTTGTTAAATAAACATAATCTAAGTAAAGTTATGTAAAAGTAGCAATTCGATAGTTAGCTAAATTGTTAGATTTATGTTTTTCTACAAATATTTTTGATATAATAGTTGAATTAATGAATAAATATAAATAAATTAATATATTTGTAATATCCCAATGAGTAGAAAATTAGATTTTCTGACGTTTTGTGACTTAGTGTAAGTCACTTCTTCAGAGAATAAATAACCAAATTACAATTAATCCAAGTTTAATTTGGTTATTGATTATCTAAAGAAATGACTTACACTAAGTCACAAAACTTCAGAAAATCTAATTTTCTACTCATTGGGATATTACAAATATATTATGTATTTATGACAATCTACCCAATGCTCAATTTATTCGAAATTATCAAATCAAGCCTTGGCAATGATACATAATGAATAAATAGAAAAGATACATACATATAAATTTGTTGATTTAATAGCTGAAATCCTAATATTGTGACTACAATTAATGATATAATTTAGGATCAAACATAATCTATGAATTTGTTATATGAATATCATTTATAAAAAAATATTATAGTAAATGAATAAAATCATTATGATTTCATAGATTAAAATATTTTATAATTAATTAAAAGACTGAGTAAAATATTAGAAATAAATATAGAGTATCATCTAGAATAATCATTATACATTACTTTGTATAAATGAAAATAGAACTCTCATTTGAGAAGTTACATGACTTAATGAATGAATTAAGATTATTACATTAGAAACTAAAATATTTAACTTGTAATATGAGTGGTTCCCTTTAATCTTATGATAATTTTTGCTACAGTTAAACCATTAAAATTATTTGTTTAGCGAAATACACGATGATTATTTCTGTTTTATCCATAAACTAGTGTACTAGATAATTCACATAAATCGGTAACTGTTAACAGATGTTGTAGAATTAAAATAAATAGAAATATGAGAGCATCATCACTTTTACTATTATTGATATGCAATCAAAGAGTAACAGGGAATAAACTTTTCGCAATAAATATTCACAGTTCGTAATAGTATACTATATGTAAATTAGCTACACTAAAAATACTCAACAAAAATAACTTAGAAACTTGGAGACGCTGAAAAACCTTAGATAAACATTAGAAAATGTAAAAGCTGGAACTATTTTCCTTTTACAGAGTACTTGATGGCACTACTGTTCAGTAAGATCATTTGTAACAAAACGGTGAAGAATTTTAGCCAACTTGGAAAAAATGTGAGGGTGATGAAAATACTTTACAAATGAAGGTATGATAAAAAATAGATCTGTACATCAAGTTTTTCTCTTAAGTTCTAAAATTTGTTTTCCAATTTATTTTATTATTTTGACCAGATTTCAGCCCTGCATTTAGGAAACCGTATATGATTAGTTGAGGGACACTTCATTTGACTTGGAATGAAGCAAGTTTTCTGAGGGTAAACTTTACTGAAATAACTTATCGAGGAAACATGTTTGGTAATGACAAGAGAACCGTTCAATGCTTTTGTCGATTCCTTTTAAGCTAAACGTCGTAAGTTAGAAATCGACATAGAGAAACATCAAACGGATACTTTTAATTACTGTTTGAGGATGCCTCAAAAGATCAATTTGCCAAAAAGATTATTTACATTCGACAAATCTTCGTGTATACACAGTGATTGTTAAACAATAAAATACGGAAAAAGTAAACTAACGTGCATTCTATTACTTACATGAATAACCACAGGAATGAATATCTGGACGATTGGATGTCTCATGGTGAAAAGTTTCATTTAGTGGAGGTACGTGAGCTAATGCTTGTTCGAATTCTACCTAAAACGTCATAATAGTCAACATTTAGAAGATGCATTAAACTGGTGGTGTACAGAACGTTTTAACTTACAGCATTGGTAAGCCCAAGTGAATTTAGTTCAGGGAGAATGAAATCGGGATAACGTGCAGGTGTTAGTTCTTGATTTCGTATTGTTCTGAAATTATTGCCACATTCTGAAAGTCTGGATATGCGATTTTCATTAGTCAATTCAGAAATATCAGCCCAAATACTATTCACATTAAGTTCACTTAAATTTTGACTAATTCCTCTAGAAAACGTCCACCAGTACCAACGTGTTGCTGTATTAATTACTAATTTAAAAACACGAAAGTCATTGTTCTGAAATAAAAAAAAAGAATTACAAATGATATGTAGAAGCGGTCAGATAAAATATTCTAGTAATCAAATACTATTTTTGATCTAACCGTATCTGATTTTTCCAGTGAATTTTTTTATACGGTACGAAAGAGTTCAACACCGGCTGAAGCCCTACTAGGGTTACTCTCCACATAAAGGAGAAGGGTTGGGCATCGAGTCGGCAACCTCATGTTGTAGAATAGAACATAGCTAAATATGTGCTTACCAGAATAAAATAAATAAAACCATCTAAACTCCACCCTACAATTTGAAGGATCTTCTTTCGGAAGAATAATGACGATTCATAATGAAAGCCAATATTCTTCGAAAGTTACGAGGTCGATGCCACTTCTAACAATCACAGTAATAATTGACGCAGGTACATGGAATGTTGGGACGATTTGGGAGACCGGGAAGACCAACCACATAGCTACAAAAATGAGGAGGTACAATTCAGCAGTACTTGGGAAAAGCGACACCCATTGGAACCATGTTGGTCAAAAAAGATACAAGACAAATGCTGTTGTACTTCGGTCACGAAGAAGTAAATGCTCAGCACACTCAGTGAGTTGCTCCGATAATGTTCAAAGAAGCATGCAAAGCACTTATAGGATGGGAAACTAATTGATCCAGCATCATCAAGGCATCATTCAAAACAAAGGAAATCACAATGAATGTTATCGAATGGTATGCACCCACCCATCATAGCAATGATGATGATTAAGATCAGTTCTATGAGAGGCTGCAATTGATCATAACGAAGTGCCCAAGAAACGACCTGACAATCCTGATGGGAGATCTAAACGCCAAAGTTGGAATGGACAACACCGGGTATGGAGATATGGGACGACGTGGACTGATTGGAAGAAGAAAACGAGAACGGTGACAGACTTGCAAATCTATGTACATTCACCGATTTGTCGATAGACAGCACGATATCCCCACATAAAGCTACTTGGGTTTCACCGAATCACACCAAACAGAACCAAATCGATCATATTCGCATCAGTAAAAAATTGACAAGATCAATGGCAGACGTGAGAACTAGGAGGGTAACCAACATAACTTCAGATTACCATCTACCTGGTGGTTGTCAAGATGAAACTGATGATAAAGAAGTATTGGATGACCGAACAAACAGCCTTACAAAGGTTCACTACAGTCTTCTTTTTACGCACTGACAAACTCAGCCAATTCAAGATAACTCTCAACAACAGGTTCCAAGCTTTACAAGTTCTACTCAAAGAAGAAGAAATTACGATAGAGGACAAAGAAGCAAGTGGAGAGGAGCATTAAAGTCGACAAGCAGAAATACGTGGAAGAACTTGAAACAACGTCGGAAAAAAATGCAAAAGAAGGAAATATGAAACAACTATGATACAACAAAGAAACTAGCAGAGAAATATAGTAAAGCAGAGACCAGTCAAGGACAAAGAAGGCGAATCAATCAATGAGATTTAAGAACAGAATAACAGGTGGGTAAAACACTTTGAAGAACTCTTGAATAGACCAGACTCACTGAACCCATCGGACATCGAAGAAGCATCTACAAATCTCCCGATAAAATACTTCGAAAAGATACCAAAGAAAGATGTCAGCAGGTGTGAGAACTACACAGGCATCACACTATTGTTAGTACTACGAAAAGTTCTCAAGAAAGTGTTGCTGAACCGAATTAAGGATTCATTAGACGCCCAGCTTCGAGATCAACAGACAAGGTTCTGTACAGACCAAATCACAACACTACGGATCATCGTTGAACAATCAATTGAATGGAAATCGTCACTATACATTAACTTTCTTGATTATGAGTAAGCATTTGACAGTGTGGATAAGAGAACATTATGGAAACTTCTTCGACACTATGGAGTAGCTGAGAAATTCGTCAACATCAAACGAAATTCATACGACTGACTACACTGCAAAGTGGTGTATGAAAGGCAGCTGATAGGTGCATTCCAAGTGAGGACCAGAGAAAGACAAGGCTGCCTAATCTCTTCCTTTCTTTTTCTTGTGGTGGTTGACTGGATTATGAAGGCCTCTACATCTGATGGGAATCACGGAATATAATGGATAGGTTGGATGCAGCTAGACGATTTGGACTTCACAGGTGACCTAGCTCTTTTATTCCATATACACCAACAAATACAGGTCAAGATAACCAGTGTAGCAGAAGTCTCTGAAGCAGGAGGCCTCAACATACACAAGGGCTGAAGCAACATCCTCAAATACAACACGAAGAACATCAACCCAGTCATGTTTGGTGGAGAAACTCTGAAAGAGGTGGAACGTTCCACGTACCTGGTCAAAACCACCAATGAACAAGGATGATCCGATACAAATGTTAGGCGGGGATCGGCAAAACAAGGGTCACATTCATACAGTTGAAGAACATATGGAACTCAAAACAACTATCAACCAATGTCAAAGTCGGAATCTTCAATACGAACGTCAAAATAGCTCTGCTGTACGGAGTTGAGGTTTGGAGAACTACCACAACCATCATCAAAAAGGTAAAAGTATTTATAAATGATTGTCTACGTAAGATACTGAATGTTCCTTGACTGGATACTATCAGCAACATTCTACTGTGAGAGAAAACAAACCAGTTTTTAGCTGAAGAGGAAATTCGGAGAAGACGCTGGAAGTAGATATGAAATTTATTGTGGAAATCAAACTTCGTCACGAGACAAGCGTTAAATTGAAATGCTGAAGGGAAAGGAAAAGGAGGAAGACCAAGGAGCACACTGAGTCAAAATTCAAAAGCAGACAGTAAAAGTACGAGTAGCAACTGGAAAAGATTGTTCGAGGACAGAGTTCGATGAAGAATGTTGGTGAGCGGACTATGCTCCTGCACGAGGAGTAACAGGCGTAAGTAAATAAGGAGCTCAAAAAGATGGATAAATGCAAACAATTGACAATACATGTAAATCTACACGATCTATTTATGAAAGACTAAAAGAAGAAATAATCACAATATCAAAGACATAAATTAAGTGTTGATTGTTGGCTTAAACGTCTAGAGATAATAAAGAGATAAAAGAAAAAAGGATAAATTAAAGAGTATTTATCCATACAACTGTGTAAAAAACAATAAAATGATGTTAGAATGAGATGAAATAATGCGTTATCTAACCCTTAGGCTAATACGGAATAAACACGCCACGTTTCATGCAGATCTTAAACTTCTCTTTCTGTTATCCAAAAAATCGTTAGGAAGTATTATTATTTAGTAATCTTAGTATTTACAATTCCATTGAAAAGATCGAGCTCGGTCTAACATGAATACATTTCAATGATGTAAATTAGAATAAAAATTAAATAAGTGAGACTTTTAAAAACATACCCAAAATTTTGAACAGTACTTCATATGCCTTTCATGACGTTTATTCAAAGCCACAGTAATCCATAGTCTTAGAGAGTCGACAGTTTTGTGTTCATAATACCGTTGGGTAGCGGTTTTTCGTCTATTTCTTTTATGTTTTTGTTTTCCAATCCATAAATGCCAAGCCTTCCACACTTTTGCTTGTAAGCATAAAGACCATCGCACAAGAGCTATGGATTTCAAAGCTTTAAATCTACTGTTTTCAATTAGTTTTAAGTGCCATTGGCTTAAGAAGTGCTTCTGAAAATAACAAAGATGGTTTTGATGCATCAAATAATGATAAAAAGAGATGAAAAGTTAGGAATGATTCAAAGTTATTAGCTCTCAGTAGTATACTTACTTACTTACTCCTGTTACTTCCAATGCAGCATAGGCCGCCGACCAGCATTCTCCAACTCACTTTGTCTTTCCTTTCTAGTAGTAGTAGTATACGATACAAATATTTAGACTTTTAAAGAGGTTCCCTGGTTTATACTAGGGAACACTGAACAACTGTTTCGTCTTAAAGTATGTTCATCCATTTTATTTAAACGTTTCTCCAAATGATGTCAGTTTGTACAGCAAATGACATTTGAGCTATCCAACCTCCATATATAATAGAAATCAAGTGCCTAAGCAACCTTTATCCTGCTAACTACTTGTTTTTATAACAGGTTAATGATCAGGCCGAAGAATATACAAAAATAAGAAATCAACAAAAAGATAAAGGCAATCATTCTTTTGGAGTATTATTCCACAAACCCATATTTTCTCCTTGAATCATAACTTTGACGCCTAGTGTTTCCTACTACTACTCATACTGTTACTAATTTACTAATCTTGAGTCTCGTTAGGCTGATATGATGTGACAACTTCAATAGATGGACATACATATCAAGTTCTATGTCGCTTATGGATAACTGAATCAATCACACTGACGTATTGTAATTATCTTCCACGATAAATTTAGTAAATAGATAGCTCAAATATTTATTTGTCTAATGATACCTCAATTCGTTAATAAATGATTTAACTTACCTGAATTGTTCGAATTCGAAAGTCGTTAGCTGTTTTAATTAATTTGATTTTATGTTTCTCGATAGTAATAAAAGCAGACCAGCAATTGATACACTGAACAAGTATATGTTTATCATAAAGTCTGCATGCAAGTTTAACGTTTGAACAATAGTTATACACAGATCTCCAACGTGTCCACCAAATTCGTATAGTAACAATTCGCATATTCTCTAAACTTATTTTAAAAGTAAGCTGCATTTCCAAAACATATTCTCGACGACTAGACGTCCATTGTAGCCATGCAAGAAACATCTGTGGAAAACATGAGGTTATTCAACATACAACAAATGTATCTTTGCATATAATCGAACACAATCATCAATCAATGAAACAGTGTTAGAGCGTTTTGATTCATCTAACATCTAGAGAAAACATTCTCCTGAGCTGATATTTTGGCAGCTAAGTCTAATCACTTATACATATCAATGTAGTAGCTTGAAATTGATAGCCGAAATTTCTAAGACTCGATTATTAAACAAAAAACCGTAAAAATCAAACTTTGATTTATCTAAATAATTAAATCTATATTGTTTTTTTCATAAATAGCCTGATGTTAAACAGTAACATAAAGTATAATTTACATTTCTTAAAGTTTAATTCCACTAAATGATAACCTCTTATCAATAAAAACCTAAAATTCTACGCCGAAATCTATGGTAGTAAGGTGTTGTTTATATTTTTGATAGTGACTAGCAATGTGAGATACACGGTAGCACATTTCATTTCACTCGGGACTCGTTTTCTGGATGTACCTGAAATCCAAGTATCATTGATTACACTTAAATCTAATAACAGCTTTAACCAATCCTATTTTCAAAGCATAATTCATGAGGCTACTATTGTTGTAAGAGATAATTTAACTATGAGGTAAAAACTTTTGAAGCTATTTTTTCATGATTTTATTTATATATATTGACTGCATGTTAATTAAGTAGTTTAGTTCTATTATTTTCGTATCACCCTAGTCCAAAGCTTTTATTAGAACCGTAAATTGTTGATATAGCATTTTCAACTCATGAACTAGAACAGATTATTTGTGTACCCAATATTTCATTTTTCCCACCATTAATGTTGTTGTTCCGAGTTAATAGTATTACTCATTCGGTCTGCTCCGTGGTCTGGTCTTGTATGTATATAAATGAATGTCTGGAATATAGTAACCATCTTGGATTGGTGATCATTGGTCCATTCAAATAAGGATGATGGTGTACAGAACAAAGTTTAAGAAGACTATAAAGAAATTCAGTGGATTTGCTGTTCATTGTTTATTCTTACGATGAGCAAGATAGGTTAAGTACGAACATGAACTAAGACACATTACCTATGTTTAAATTGGGATGTGTTGGTGAAAGTAAGACGTAATTAGCTAATGAGGAAAGATAAGCACACCTAGTTACATTAAATATATAGGACTATAAAATGTTGTAAATTCCTTAACTGTTAATTTCTACTCGAATTTTCACTGTGTTGATTCATTGTGATTTATGTTAATGAGCTATCGTTTAGTCTAAGCTGGTTCTTAATATTTGATCAGACTTGCGTATCTGAGTTTATGTGGTAAAGTAGAGTGATCTATTTATAGTGTTTCGAGTCTACAAGTCGTAGAATCCTGTTGTAATAAGTATTTAGTGTCTCAGAGCAAAAACAAATTCCTATTAGTTTCCGTTATTTCATATTTGGTACATAAATCCAAAGTATTTCATTGAATTTATTTTCTAGAAAATGATAACTAATCATTATTTTTTATGACAGCTGAATATTTCCCAACTATCAAGTAATTAAAAAACACCTATTGCAATGGGACATCATCAAGACGTATTCACTTAAGTCATTCTCATCATTCAACAAATATCTTCTAACCGAAAGTAAGTAATAATGACTAACTTATTATTAATAAATGAAAAACAATCGTATAGTTCCTACGAGCTATTAGTAACGATTGCTTGAAAATACAACTGAAGAAACTTTGATAAGTATATAAATTTAAGAATGTTAGGTAAAGAGAAAAAAAGATTTTTATGTGAACAAAAAACACCGAAAATTTTAGTAATTTCGATATTATTCCAAAATTACCGTTAGTTGAACAATTCACAAGAACAGGAAAACTTTACAAGTCAAACGACTTCTAGTTTTGATATTTCTAAATGAAAGCTATTCACAAATTTGATTGGCCCGAAATTAAAGAATGTCAAGTGTATTTGCATGATAATAAAGTAATGAATATTTCGGTATTTATATGACTATTAGGCATAAATTTTAGGATGAGTGATTACAAATTTAAACAATATACAATTTCATTTTATATATCAAGATGAAGATTTGAAAATAATAGCTCAGGGTTTTACGTCAAGATGTACTATAAGCTTTAAATAGCATGAATATGTCTATTTTAAGTACACGTTTCGTGAACTGGAAACATTTGCAATGGTGTTTCCACACAAAATGTGAATATGACATGAAATACAAAGTAAAACCATGAAAAAAAGTTCTTTAGAATGAAGTAAATATATAGCATCGTAAAATGAAATCTACAATTGGTTATTAAGTATAAAGTGTTAAGTGAAAACTGACAGTTAATGTACACATTGAGTAGTTTGCGGCTATTTCCATTTGGTATCATACCACATTTGTGCAAGCTAAACCATGTACATACATATTCTTTCGATTTTCAATGTCCATTACGTTATTATATAAGTATGAAATCTTTATAACTCCACCAATTCCTTTTGAAGATAGAAAATTATTAAAGTTCACTTTAAAAACGGACTTACCCTTTTTATGCTTTCCATAAATTTATGTTTTCGAAAACTCCGGATTGTTAATTCTTGTGACTGTTTAAAGAGAAGATGACTCAACCAATATTGAAAATATTCCTTGAGTAGTTTATTTTTCTGATACTTTTTAAAATGAGATAATTTTGACAATAATAATTGCTTGATAGTACAATAATCTTTCCATTTCAGTAGACACTGTTTGATTAATGATGTATTATGTTTCATCTTGAAATAAAGAGATTATTATTTTTAGTACTAATGTTCTTCTTACAATTAAAGTATAATTTACTAAATAACTAATAGAAATAGTAATAATCTAAACAATTCTACCAGAATGCTACTAGTTTTGTATAAAATCTTTGAGCATAACTCAAACTGAAAGTTAAATCTCCAAGGATTCATTTCTGTAGAATACGAACCACCTGGAATTGGCTTATGATCACATCACCAGATATTAGCAAGTTTTAATATAATGCTCAAGATGTTAGGTGTTTGGATGCAATTGACTAAAAGCTCAAATTTTCAGTTATTTTAATATTGGTCCCGCTATGACGCGTATGACTGATATATTTATGGTGATTGATCACTAAGCAGTGATATCAGTGATCTGATAACTTGGAGTAATATGATAACCGAATTTTAGTTACCAAACTATTAGCAAGGCTACAATACAGTAACCTGTCCATAATAAGGCTCAAAGAACAACTAATTTTCCATAGTTCGTAAAACTTACATTCATGGATTGAACACTACTGCGATGATCAAGAGCCACAAAATGATGATTCATCCAAGCAACAAAGTACTTTTTAATTTGATTTATTTTATAAAATCGAATAACAAATTTTATTTGTTTGTATTTTTTTCTCTTATATAGTGCATAATTTCTCCATAACAAAAAGCATCGACGACGTACTAAAATAGAATGTAAATTACAAGCAGAAAAATACATTTGACGTTCTATAATTGATACTTTGCTTCGATATGACCACATTTTAAGGAACGTCTTCAAAATTCTATACCTAAACGAAAAGGAGAATCAAGATCAGATGATTACGATTTATATTTATTTGTTTCGTAATAACTCAACCATTCAATTCGACATAGTGGAAAAATTTAAATCAAAAGATATACTATTTAATTTCCCACATTGAAAATATTGTTCAAGACAACATTATAACAAACTTCATCAACTGAAGATACATCAAAAACCAGGGAACGTCAAACAGGTTTTTAGTTTAAGCTCTATACTTTCCAGAAGTCTGAATTTTTTATCATGTATAAAGTCGAACTACAATCCTTCAGGTTAACAATTAGTGCCATGTGTAATTGGAATATAAATCAGATATCATCAAATGATCACATCATGTTGACTGATTTCCTATTTATTGAATGTTTATAACTTATTGAAAATAAAAATTACAGGTGTTCATTGTATTCATCTGATGTATAAGTAAATTTAGTTGATTCTACCTACATTTCAACACAATGAAAATTAATTAAGATCAGGAAAGGCATCGGATGTGTATTAAATTAACTACCTAGTTTTACTTTTATATTTTAGCCAATTACAATCATGAGCAAAGACGGATAGTGACTAGCAGTGGAATCCAAGACGCGCATTTCGTCTTATTTGGAACTCGTCAGCTTGATATACCAGCATCCCAGAGTTGATGTTCACTCCGAGACTCGAAACCAGTACAGTGCGCGTCAAACGCCATCGCATTATCCACTTAGCTACTGAGTCCTGATAGCAACCTTCTTGTGCAATGGGGTGAAGTTTAAATTCACATGGTGTTGTTTGCTTGTGTTTTCCTATTGTTGTTTAGGACTGCTATTGATCAGGGGGCCACATCCGTAGCCTCTGACCTAGAGGTCTAATCGACAAGGCAGCGGGGCAACGTTAGGAGATGCAGTCCCATGGTAGACGGCAATCAACAATTGGTTCATACTCCATTTGTTTTCTCAGGATCCTGGGGCCCATGTGCACCATCGGTTCAGGATAAGAGTTTTTAACCCCTGTGTCCATCAACCCGGTTGAAGCACCGGATATTCGCTTTTCGTTTTCTCGATTTTCTAAACAACACCCCCAACGCAAGAAGGCAGTGAGTAGGACTTCTCCGTCAGTGGCTGTGTACGCGTGGTCATGTGAGAGCATTGTGAGGGGGAGAGCGGACTCTCCTCACCCTCGGTCGTACCATAGCATTGGAGGGGGGCATTATGGAATAATCCATATTGTTTTCTTGATTTCACTCAAAGGAATATATATGTTTATGCTCCGCTTTGTTTGTTAAAAGAATGAAATATCAGTGAAGGGTTGTGGAGCCGAGATACGCCAGTGTTAACTTCCAACTTCAATTAATCCACGATAGTGCGCGGCCATCCTCCACTGTCTTCAGTGGCCAACTGATTCACACCCGACACAGTTGGTTGAACTTAAACATTAACACGAATGGATCCCGGCTCAGTGGTCCAGAGGTTAAGTGTTTGCACGAAACGGAAGGTCTTGGATTCGAGTCCCGAGTGTGGGATTGTGGATGTACACTTGAAGTTAAACAATAAAAATTTCCTATACTTCGTATGTTTAGCAGTACATACTTTATTCGTCCTTAATGATATTCGGTTTAGAATACTTTTATGAGTTATATAACACCTTTTAATAAATATACTATCGGAGCATTTACAGTTTAATTAGGAAGTAAATCGATGTTAAAAAAGTGAAGATTTCTGAAGCTTTGACTACTTCTTAAAGTATTTATTAAAACAGAAGACAGGCGACTAGATTAACTCATGGTAGATAAACCTTAAATAGTAGTTATGATTTGAAAATATTACTGACCAGCATTTGATGACTAATCTGTGCACAAATTTGTATTATTAAATCACTTAAACTTTTGCAGATATTTCATTTTTTCATCTGAGCCATAAAAATGAATAATGAAAAGCTGAATTTTAAACTTTACTAACAAGAAAATAAACACACGAGAAGTACTGTTACGATGAACAATTGTTATGAATAAGTTTGAGATTGTAGAGATTGAAATGTACCATATAGCAACACATTTCCATATAAATAACACTGATAAAATACTTTATAACTCAGCTTACCTATTATGTTTATTTGAAATTTGAATATCTAAAATTTGGTGATACCATTCTTGAATTACTGACACCATGATAGCTTTGTTCAATTTATTTTGAAGAAACTTTAGTGCGGTTCTACGTAATATTCTTTTTTGTTGCCAAAACTGATGTTTTAACATCCAAACAAATAAAGCTTTACGCAAAATATGCCGACGATCGTGAGCTCTTGCCGCAGCAAAAAGGGATTTTTCAACAGCAGATTTTCCAGTTAGAAAATACTTAGTTTTCCAACTTGTCATGTGGCTTTGCAATGCCTTGATTTATTAAAAGTGGAATTATAAATTATTTGGCAATCAAATAAAAAGACATTCAACCAAAAAGCAAACTGATTATTCTAAGAACTAGACAGAACATAAATTCATGTCCTAGAAGAAAAATGTCATACAATCAATATGACAAAGTGCGTTTGTAACTGTCTCCAAAAACGTAATGATCATCGTCATGAATGTAGAACCAACTACTCAGTTATGCAAATGACTGGAATAAAACTCACGATATTATTATATCTATCCCAGTAATTGATGCTTGGACTCTAAATAATACCCATACGATTCGACAAGCTTAACTTTTTGCTAGTTTTTTCACAGTACCGAAAATAAGGTTGTTTACTCACCTGACGACGATAATTAGCATTTGCCATACTTTTTGACTTGTTTCTTCTCCGTCTTTTTTGTAGGTAAGATACCCAAATAAAAAGTGAGCGCGACTGAAAAATAAAACGTCAATATTGAGTAAACGTCCGCACGTCTTATTAGGAAGATAAAAATGAACTTACACAATTACCTTTATATTAATGTTATGATGATCTGTAGCTTTTTTGTTTGCAAATTTTAGCGAGATTCGAAAGTCGAATTCTAAATGATTTACAAAGTTAATTCTGTTAAGACAGCTTAGCTCATATGAACCATAGATGTCAGCGTCATGACAAAATACAACCTTCAGGTAAAAATGTATCACGGATTAAAAGTTATCGCAGGTAGTTTCATTGACTTTAAAAGTGGGAATAGAATATAAACTCCAAGATGACATAATTTATGAGTTTAATATAAAGAATAAGATTGGTCAACAAGTACTTCATCAATCGAACAATCCACTAAAAAGTAATGTACGTTTCAATCGTCACACAACATACTGTAATTGGTCAGGATAGGTTTTGTATCAGATAAAGCTTATGCAAACAGCTTAATTGTTTAAATCTTAGTAAATAAAACAAATCTGTACCTCTTTATCAATTTTCTAAAAATTATATCTAAGAGGACGAATTACTATTTCGATGGCAATTACTTTACATGACAAAAAGGATACCGTATTTCCAGAAAAGTAAAGATGATTTGAGAAGATTATGGTCACGCAAAATACGTGCAGATTTATAATCTGTAGCTAAACGTAGCCAGAAACCAAGGTAAATGCGCATTCGAGAATGTATCACTGACGTAAAGCAGTAACCTAGAAAAAAGGAATATAAACAACATTTCTGTGCTCAAATAGAATGTATATGATGTATGTTAAGCATACAACCATAGCATCATTCAAGTTGCATTCATTCTATATCAACCTTTAAATCCCAAGTTTCAAAATCACTTTATAATTTTTTTCTTTTACTTCCGAGAATAAATTATTTCTTCTTGTATTACATTTCCTGTTCCCAATCTATTCTCCTACCATTGACGCTGTTATTGGTTCTACTAATCAGGGATTGTCTTTACAATTTCACCTCACTGCACTAGTGTGGCTTAACAACTTGAGTCAATGTCCATTTATGCAAGATTGTACTTTTCGGCTGACTGATCTAAAACTTTGAACCCTATTGAACTTCAACCTCAAATAATGGTCAATTTTAGGCGATTCGTTCAGAAGAAAAGCACTTTTTTACAATAAGGTAAAGGTTGCCTGATGCCAAAATCCTTTTCCCATTTAATATTTTGCAAATTTGGTAATTGACACTTTTTCACATGGTGATTTACTTTTACTTTCGGATAAGTTAATTATCACAATCTTTCCATTTATTTTGTCCACATATTTGGCCCTGTCATTCAGCTTTAATATGCTTTATACGTCTGTATGATGGTATGTTTATCCATGTTCTGTATTTCTTACGTAGCTTATAAGAACTGAGTCACCTTATTAGTCTTTAGTCAGTGTATTACCGAATTCAGACACTGTATAGGATCACCACATCTTTTGTTTCCTTGTCTAGCGTTCAATATTAGCTTGTCTAAAATATACCTAACCTAAATACAATTTGTATCTGACTTTTGACATACCGTTAAGCTGACAGAACAAACACGATGTATGCAATATCTAGACTTCGTCTACAGCATTACAGATTCTATCAATCTTGGGCTATTATATATTACAACAGGCCCTCTTTTTAGATGAATGAGTATGAAGTATGTTGAAAAATACAACTTTGCAAAAAACTCATATCGAATAAACACACAGTTTTAAAGTAATGTAAATATGTGAAAACATGATCAAACCGAAGATCCCAAATTGTTATTAAGATTTTTACTATTTCGTTTCATGGTTTACCCCTAAATAAATCTCTAGTTCAATGTAAAGCATATGTAAACCGGGTTCCAAAGAATGTATGAAAGATATTCCTTTGCATTGAAAACCTAACGAAAAACCAATACTTTAAACCAGAATGATATGAAAGTTTCACACAAACGAATTAACTACGGTGTTTGATTAGTGAATGATAAGCACTTCATAAGATCTCATTTTATGTACAAGATTTAGTCCAGACTAAGTGTGTATAAAAACCAATGTCAGAGTCATGCCGTAACTTCAGATATTCAAAAAGTATCTTAACATACGTCCAATAGTCCTAAAGACTCAAGACAGTAATCAAGGAGGTTTAAGCTCATAAAAATAATCAACAAGGAACTACTTTAAACTCATTCCGAGAACCACATTTCAACTGGTGAAGTTGATATAATGATAAAAAAGACATGATTAAGTCTTCTTGAGTTTCTGTGAGGAAATTATGAAATGTTCAAGACAATAGAGGCATTCTAGGAAATACAGTTTGTTACCAATAGCTAATTTTGACAGGTGGGTACGTGCATCCTCACTAAAGAGCACACGGAAAGCAAACCTAATAACACTTATGTAGGAATAATAACATGTTTGAACGCCAAGCTCCCAATTTCGGGGAAGCCGCTATAGTAAACTTTGGGGAAATTTTAGAGGAATGACACCAAAACCCCAAAATTTCCCTTTAACCCTGGTGAAAATCATTTGACTTTGTGGGTTTCCCCAGAATTTCCCCAAACTTTGGAGATTGGGCTATTTATGAGTTAATCGACAAATCTTGGTTTAAACCAAGAAGTGTAGTAGAACAGCACCATAAACATATCAGTTTTAAGTACATGTGCATCTATACTGCTGAAAAGGACTGTTGAAAGTAAGACTCACTTCGAGATTTACTGAATCTACATATTTGACACAATCTCACACAACTTATCTATACAACCCCAATCGCCCAAGTTTGGGGAAATTACGGGGAAGCCAACAAAGTCAAAGGACCTCCACCAAGGTTAAGGGGACGTTTTTGGGTTTTTTTTGCCATTTCTCTAAATTTTTTACAAAGTTTACTATAGCGGCTTCCCCGAAATTTCACCAAAATGGGTCAAGTCTACTCTAAATCGGGAGCTCGAGACAAAATGATGCATGAAACTGAACTTACATTCTTCACAACTTAACGTCCCCGATAAGCCGCCGAAATATGTAACCGACTGTGTATAGTTATTGTTTTTTCCAGCGGATATTTCACTGTCTAGCTTGTCATAAGTGTATGAGCTCATGTGTTTATAATCGCAAGCCACATTTTCCGACACATCGAAGAGCTGAGACTTTAAATTACGACAATCAATCCTCGCGACACCACCCATAGAATTTTTTTTATTAATGGTTTGCAAAATATCCTTCTTAGCTTTAGAGATATAAGCTCCCAAGTTATTCGAAAATTCCTTGTTAGAATTCATTGTGCTTCATAGTAGAGAACTGCTCATACTGATAGTTAAAAAGCTTCTCGAAAAATACTTGATATGTAGCGACTCGCGTCTAGCTCGAAGGTTCTCTGTGCACTAAAGTCATCATAATGTCGTTGTCCTTGTTACAAAAGACGCCCAACCGAATAACCGCCAGTGAAACTACGGAATATTTGATAATATTCAACATCTTATATTGAGCTTATATTGAGAAGTTGTTCATCAAGGCAACCCTCCCTCATGTTGAAGAAAGATTAAAGGACGCGAGTGACTCGTTTTATCAACAGTTTAGCCCTTTGACTGAGCTGGTGGTTAAAAGAATGTCTGTTAACTTCCAACATTGCTTAATTTCTGTATGCTTGATACATGTTTTGCTACTACGTATATGCTGTTTTGCCGATCTATACTGGCTGTTCTACTTTAAAAGTAAAGATTTTCTGCAATTTGTCTTTTTTCTATATTAGCTTTCAGGTGTTTGTGTTATGTCATTTAACAATATCGATTACAACAAATAATGTTAATCGTAAACGATATCAATAGCAACATAAACAGTACCTTCAAACAATCAAAGAGCTAATGGACCATAGAAAAGCAGAAAACAGCACACAGCCAAAGGCGGATGTCATGTAGAAAATAGAATCTTTTAAAAAGAAATTGTAGTTGCCATTTGTAGCAAAATGTCAGGATTCTTAACGAAATCTTAGTCTGTTTGTAATTCTTGTAGTGTTTTCATTAGGTTTCACTCCTGTACATTGCTAGATATATCTGATCTATAGGTTTTATTTTATTTCCATATAGATAGTTCTCCATTTTTAATTGGTTTATTTTCCGAGTAACCAAACAAAATGTGAACGTAAAGTAACCTATATGAAATACAGTGCTTACACTTATCAGGGTGGTTCACTGCTCTTGAAGTTGTAATTAAAAGTCTCACAGACTATGCTGAAAATTTACAAATAAATTTGTTACACTTAACGAACCATGTGGTCATTCGTACCTATTTTCACAGTTTTGTTAATTCGGACCATGCTTTTATTTAGCAGCTTGAAGTCTAACGTCAATGTAAGCCTAAGCTTTCTTTCCCACAGAGTTCAAATCGTAGATGCAACGTCGGGAGGGATAGTCAGTAGTAAATTACCTATAAGCGTCTTATAGGTAAAATGCTACTGTATGCCTTTCTCTTTGAGTACATCAGGTAGGCGTGAGTTGTAAAATGATAAAAACCGGTATCCGTCCTACACTTATTTTGTAAAGAATGATTCTCGATTTGTTATGAAAGGATTTGAGAATAAAGCCTATCAATTTCGGTATTTCGGGTGCTTTAGTAAAGATATATTTTGGAAAGTCTTTGCTGTGTGAGTTACGCATCTTAAAGTCAGTCACTTATACGGGTTCGGTAAATACGTTCTTGCGACTATGAGTACTATCTTAAAAGAAGTATCTTAAATACACATCCAGCTGCACCTAGAAATTGTTGATGTTGATTGTGGGAGACAATGAACACATTACATTATCTGCTCGACACCATTAGTTATTGGTCAAGGTGTAAGCGCTGCATAATTGATCTTAATTATTTGGCAACTATTCACCAGAAGGGATTTAACTGATACCGACAGAGTAATTCCGATTAAAGGAAGTTCTTTGACTAATACCTGATCAGCTTTCTTGATATCAAAATCCAATGTGACCATCACTTACTTTTGGTTACGTATTGGAGAAACGTCGGTAAGAAAACTTTTCACACCTAAAGTTCTGAACGTGAAATAAATAATAACGATGCCAAAGTTGATTGTCCTTGGAATATTCTTGCTTTTGTGGTTGATGCCATTTTCCAGGACATGAGGTATATTTGTCGTGTTGAAAAACCATTCACTCAGTGGTTCATAGGTGAACTGTTGGTAATCGTTTAACATTCCTCCATGCTAAACGAAATGGATTGTGTTATATAGACTCTTTTCTAAGAGCCTTTCTAGCAGACGTCAGAGACATTGGGGATTAAATGTTTTAGTAAGTTATTTTTATTCCTCTGTTTGCCGATAATTTTAATACTGACTTTTAACACATTCAAGTACGGTTTGTGTTTCGCCTAGGAGGCCGATATATTTTGATATAAAGTAGCTCATCTCTGATTCTCGTTCCTTGGTCCTGGATTTCTGTTGGTTTAAGAGCTTGAGGTAGCATTGTTTGATATGGTAGGTCATTCGGAACTAGTCAAACTAGAGTATCAGTCAATGGCCATCAGAAGTGACCTGAAGGACAAGTTCAGATTATTGGCTAGGAAATGGATTAATTCTCAATGGTATAGAGAGGTATGTATATCAGTGAGTGTTTGTGTATTATGTTCAAAAGCCAAATATGATTTCTCGTCCAATCTTGTGTTCTATGAACTGTGAGGCTTACACATAGCACAACGTGTGCCAATATCAGATTGCGGATGTCATCCGGCACTACGGTGTCTGGTGTGGATTTACTGGGGATATCGAGTATATCTAGTGTTTCTATAAGTTTGTCACTAATGAAGAATTTACTACAGCTGGAGGACATAACTACGGTCCGAACGCTTCGCCGGTCAGGTTGAAGTGTTTTGGGTATGCTCATTCTTCATATCTTTAGGGTTCACTCTTTAAAGCTTGTTAGTGTTGTGAGCAGGCGCGGTGGTAGTCAGATTATATTGCTCTACCATATTCCATGTAAGAAATATAGTGGAATCCATTGCCATAAAGACATCATAATGCATATCTGTATTGCCAATAATTATGAATTTGAAAGTCGTTTAAGTGATGTAATTTAAAAGTTGCCCGTTTATACTAAGTATAATTGACTAACGCGATCATTGAACAGAAATTGTACTTAAAGTAATATGATTCGAATAATTACCAGAGTCTTTGATCACTGCGTGACTGCGTCACAGAAGTAAGGTGTGCTGTTCATACCGTGGCGTAGAAAATCCCAAGCGTCCGAATTACCGGGAATTTCATTTAAAATCCTCTGGCAAGAGACATTTATAAGCTGGTTGATCCGGTCATTAGTTATGTGCTTATAAAAGTGATAAACTCATTCATATGTGATTACATATCTGAAAACCTTGGAATCCCAGACGGTTTATTCAATCGGCTTTAGTTATTCAGACCATGTGCGTTATATGGACAGCTGTAGTAATTCCAGAGCTAATTTGCATGTAGAATACCGGATTAGAAAAGTGGCGAGTAGATTTGTTAGGATGTGGTTTCAGCTGCGCTCACTGTATTTCTGATGACTCTGAATAATTTACAGATTGCAGCCAACCCGATGTTAGTGATGGATTTGTAAAATATTGTTTCTGGGTGATTTCCCAATCGTAATGAAAACGGTTAACAGAGACCTAAGTTTCGATGCCCATGAGAATGCCTTGAAAATAGTTATCATATTCAATGACAGTTGCAGGTACAAAAATAACGTACTACCCAGACCCAAATTAATACAGTCTAAATTCTTTTGCAAGGACGAAGCTTAGAGAAAGTGTTATGGCATGAGACGTGGTGACTGCAGATAAAAACGCACGTGATGAATTTGCCTCTAACAAAAGATCCAGATTAACCTAGGTTATGCAGTTTCGTGATGTTACTTGTTCATAGACCTTAATACTACGAGATCTGGTGCATAGCTCGGTTTAGTGGCTGTTCAACCTTTAAGCTATATCTTCGTTGAACAAGTTCTGGTGTGTTGAAAAACGCCTCTTGTTGAGCTGTTGGGAGAAAACAGTTCATATCTGAATCTTCAAATGAAAAAGATTCAATACTTTGGAACGGGGATAAATTGAGAGACTAGGAATCAAGAAACTAAAATGGACTCTGGCGCAATAATAAGTGTCGGTAAAAACGATCTCAGGATTATGAACTTTAGGTAGGCAGACTTAGGGGCAGAGAGTGGTAGCAACGCCGATTTGTGTTTTGCACGAAGCCATTTAAAATTGTCCTCGGATCTGCTACACAAACGCCTATGGTTTGATTATCAAACGACTAGAACTAGGTGAAAAGGATTAGGTTCATTCACTGGGAATAGTAGACCTCGTACCTTTATCTGTAATATACCCTATGAAGATGAAATGTGAAAACTGGTTATTTTCTGTTTTAAACGGAAGGGATACGACTTTTTATGTATTTTGGTCTACCACAGTCAAAGCATTTAGGTAAATGTGGTCTTACTGGGTGAAGAGAGCACGTAGCTCTTATTAATTGTTTGGTAGCCCTTAATGCAGTTAATGTACAGTAGAAAACGTCGAGGACAGTTAAATAATCCTTTCGGATTAAGTCTAGTTGACACACTTCTTTCAAAGAGGGGATTTTGTGTGTTCAAGAATGATCTTATGTGTCAAACAACCTCAACATTAGCTACGGGTTCAGATTACCTAGAAGCTATTTTGGTATGAAGTAAAAAAAAGCACGAGTTTTTCTCGAGTCACCTAGTTAAGGGTCGTTGATTATCACATATTACCGTAAGATTAGGTTTACTCAAACAAGGGCATAATGTTGTTGGCTTGGGATTCTACAACGAGGGGATGATACAATACGAACTAATATAACCCATCATCAAACAAGATTTAGCGACATAGAAACATAATTGTATGAGCCCTGTGTGCAACTAAGAAAACAAAGCAGGGATTTTAAAAATCAATTAAAAGCAGGTCAGATTATAAAAAGCTTTAGAAGTAACCATGTAGTGTTTCTTCTGTTACTCGCGGAAACCCTTCAACTACATGAAGAATCTTCTAAGTACGACCGGCCTTGCATACTTGCGTACGGTGTGCACAACTTAAAATAGAACTCCACTACATCCACCAACGTAGCCTACATACGAAAGTTAGTCGGCTTTCTAAAAAACCAAGTATTATCCTTATATGTCTCCATCGTTCAGAATATCTGTCCGTGAAAGCGCATTACATTAAAGCCTTTCAGTATATACAGAGTTCTAGATGTACTTTTTAGGTCATTACTTTCATCCAGCGTCACATGAAC